GTTTAAATCCCAGTTTCCAACTGTTGGCAAGGCCTGTTGCAGGACTTTTCCTACTGAGATGGGATTTTTTGCAGATGGGGAGGTTGTCTGGTTGGTTTGTTTTTGTTTTTTTCCATTACGACGATGCTAGAACTTTTGTAAATAATATGAATCAAAACTAATGAGTGAAGGAGGTTTGAACGGCTCAGAGGAGAATGCAATGGGAGAATCTCTTGTCTTGATTCTGAGTCGTGTAGCCTGCCCTATAGGACTAACCAGCTTGCTTGCATAGATATATTTTTTCGTATAAGTTTAAGAATTTGGTTTATTGTAATAGGTTTATAGATTTATATTAAAGTAATCTTGGCTGTAACGCAAGAGACCTACAGGCCATTTCCTGTATGTTAAGCTAAGGAAATTTAACACCTCTATATTAAGACAATTTACCCAGAAAAGCACAGGAACTCCTCACTTAACATTGTAGTTATGTTCCTGAAAAATGCGACTTTAAGCGAAACGATGTTAAGCAAATCCAATTTCCCCATAAGAATTAATGTAAATGAGGGGGTTAGGTTCCAGGGAATTTTTTTTCACCAGACAAAAGACTATTTTTACACACACAGACACACACACACACACACTATAAGTTTTAAACACAATTTAATACTGGTACACAGTGATGATGATTGTGAAGCTTGGTTGAGGTGGAGGAGTCAGAGGGTGGGATATTTCCCAGGGAATGCCTTATTGCTAAATGAACTAGCAATTGGCTGAGCCCTCAAGGGTTAACTCTCACAACACTACAAGGCAGCAGGAAAGGTGGTAGGGCAGACAGAGACAAAGACACACACCCTGTGTATGAGAGAAAAAATGTGCATTTCCCCTTTAAGTAGCTGACCCCAGGCTTAAGTACACTGCCTTGTTAATTAAATGAGCTTGCTGAGACCTGAGACCGCAGCTACTGCCTAGAAGCTCCCTCCCTCCATCGTGTGTCCCCCCCTGCTCTATGGAAGATAGGGTAAGCGGGGTGCCGGAGCACGGGGGAGGGGGAGAGGGAGACGCCCTGACATTAGCCCCCCTCCCCCCGTACAGCAAGCAGGAGTCTCTGGGAGCAGCTCCAAGGCAAGGAGCAGCACATGGCAGTGGGGGGAGGGACAGCTGCTGCACAGGGAATTTAGGGGAGGGGAGAGCTGATGGGGGGGGCTGCTGGTCCACCCTTGTTTCAACCACCCACCAGCTAGCTGCAACGGGCTGCTCTTCCTGCAAGTAGTGGACAAAACAGGCAGCTGCCAAACGACGTTAAAAGGGAGCATTGCACAACTTTAAATGAGCATGTTCTCTAATTGATCAGCAACTTAACATCGAAACAACGTTAACTGGGACGACTTTAAGTGAGGAGTTCCTGTAAAATTAACCTATATCTTGTTACCTAAATAAATAAGTATCCACGCCTATGTCTATAATCTTCTACCTAGACCAATAGATAATGAAGAATGGCATAAGGAGGTTTTCAGTTTGGTACCCACAGTCTTAACAGGGACACCACAAGGAAACGTATGTGCGTATATGTGTCTTCGATACGCACAAACCTACTAGCCTGTGGGGTAAGTGTACCCTAACATTTGTGGGGGAGGAATAAAATGTGGGCATAGGAGGAAGGATTTCCAGCACTTGTGCCCTATAAAAGAGGTGACCCATCTCGCTAGAGCACTGCACTCCACTCGATCTTACTCACACTCACTCACTCACTCTATTCTATCTACGATGGCTACTGTTAGTAGTAGGCTGTACTTGTTCTTAAACTTTGTTTCAAGGGAACTAGGCTAAGCTCGGTTTCCCTAAGCTTTTATTCTTAGTTTTGTTTATTAGGTTTTAAGTTTGTTAGTCAAGTAAACCCTAAGTTAGCTCTTAGCATTAGTTTTTCTAAGCTCTGCATCAAGAATTGAGAAACCTGAACTGCAAGGCTTGTCCTGTTTCTCTTACCCCCAGGTTATCAAGGAAGGGTGTGAGTATGTTAACCAAAGCTTTGTTACATATGATAATATAGTATTATATGCATCTTTTGAATAGCGGTAATGCAATTGTAACTCTGGGTATTTTACCATTGACTTACTATTTCATTGATTTTAATAAAAAGTCTTTAAGGCTCTATCTGTCTCAGTGTGACCTTCCTGTCATACCCCTGAGGGTCCTTTGTAAATTCTGTGAAGCCTGATTCGAAACAAAAACTTTTATCTTCTAATCAAACAAATTGGCAAGCCTAAAACCAATCCTATTAATATTGTAATTAATAAAATAAATAAATTAAATTAATGTTATCAGCACACCCTAAATCAGGCTACAGTCGTCATATTTAACCTGCTCCGGAATTTCTAGTTATATGAAGCTGGATGTATCTTGTGTGATGTGGGGTTTTCCTCGTGGGGGACATTTGTTCACATAATCAGATATAAATTTTATTTGCCAGACTGTAGCTCAGGTTTACTGGGGACTTTGAGAACAGGACTATTTACTGAAATAGTCATTTCTCATTTTATTTTATGCCTTTTCTCTGCTCCTTCCATGATGATATGAAAAAACATCAAGTGCAGTTCAGTCAATAGTGATTGATAAGTAGGGTTTTTAGGTTGTTTTAGTGTCAGTAGCACCCTGGGTGTGTGGGTGGGGGGTAGGGTCATGTTTGCTACAGGGGGCTAAAGTGTTGGGGAAGTGGGTGGCAAGTTGACCCATCATTGTTAAGCTAAGATTTTTGTCATGGTTATTTTTAATAAAAGTCATGGGCATTAAACAAAAATTGATGGAAGCCCTGACCTGTCCCTGACAAAATGGGGAAGCAGGGGCCATCTACCACCTGCTCCTGGGTGTCACCCCCCCCCCCCATCACCTGTGGCTGCAGCTCCAGAGTCCTCCATGACTGCTGGGAGCTGCAGGGTCTGCCCGTGATGGCTGGGAGGTGTGGGATCCCCCTACTGCCCACGGTGGCTGAGAGCTCCTGGGTTCCTAACAACATGAGAACGGCCAGACTGGGTCAGACCAATGGTCCATCTAGCCCAGTATCCTGTCATACCATCAGGGGCTCGTTCACCTGCACATCTACCAATGTGATATATGCCATCATGTGCCAGCAATGCCCCTCTGCCATGTACATTG